GTAACTGCAGGGAGGCAGAGGCCAAAGGGTGGGGGCCAGTGGGCAGGCGGGGTTACATTCGGTATATAAGACGCACCTAAACTTACGGTAACTTTTTACTGTTTATTTCAAATTTAGATTTTTTAAGTTTATGATTAAAATTTTCTCCCATTCAGGAATATAAAAAAAAGCCATCCAGCATTTTCAAACTTGTCACTCTGAAGAATTTTAATAACTTAAAAGTATTTAATAAGCAATTTCCAAAAGTGACTACAAAGTTAGGTTAGCAAACTTAGTGGCTTTTATAAAACTGATCCTGGCAAAGATAAGCCCTCTGGAACACATGGGTGGTCTCCCATCCTCTCCTCACCTGGGAAATTTTCAAAGAGCTGGTCTACTCACCAGGTTTTTGTTCTTTGCTGTGTTTCTTGGCTGTTTTCAAGGAATCATCTTCAATCCACCACTGTTCTCCTGGAAGCCTAGTGCTATCTCTCTAAATAGTTTAGAGAGGGCTATAAAGTGCTGTGAAGCTATGTAAGTCTATTGCTATCCAGTCTTTATATAAATGGAACGTGTAGCTCACACTTAATACATTTAATAAAATGTGGAATTCTGGTACTTTTTACACAGCTGTGATTCTTCCTATTGTGCCTCTTATTATTGCAAAATGAAGTAGGATAAGTATACAAGGAAGTCATAGAAAGTGAACCAGCTCATGCGATCAACCCTATAACCCTTCTCTTTTAAAGTTTTCATACAATCAGGCAAAAAATGCTTAATTAGAAGTGGTTCAAAGAGCATTTTCATCTACTTGAAATTTTGAAGGGAGACAGAAAAGCTTAACTGTATGAGATTCACTGTCATAGAAAATAAAATCAGTACCAGTAAGGAAAAGGGGATAACCAGAAACACTAACCAAGGACTAATGCAAGCATGCAATGATGTCTATGGAGATTCTCAGTCATTCAGGTCAGGGTTGTCCGAGAGGTGCTTTTTCAAGAGGCAATTGGACTTTCTTCAGCTAAAGAAAGATGATTGCATCTTAGATGAGATTCAAAATGTCTTCAAAGAAAAACCAAAAAGTCCAGTAGCCTTTTGAAAAAGCACCTTTGGGACATGCAAAGATGGTTTTTCTTCTATGTCCTATGGCCTTAATCCCTCACTCATGTTAGTTAGTTAGTTAGTTAGTTAGTTAGTTAGTTAGTTAGTTAGTTAGTTTGTTTGTTTGTTTAAGCATGTATTTTATGACAGATACAAGTGTAAACATAATTATAAACACATGAAAAGGATGCAAATAAAAGAAAACATTAGAACAGGAATGGTAGGCACGCTGGTGCGCTTATGTACACCCCTTACAGACCTCCTAGGAATGGGGTGAGGTCTACAGTAGACAGTCCAAGGTTAAAGTTTTGGGGATTTGGGGAAGAAACCACAGAGTCAGGTAGTGCATTCCAGGTGTTGACAACTGTTACTGAAGTCGTATTTTCTGCAGTCTAGTTTGGATCGGTTTACCATGAGTTTGTATCTATTGTGTGCTCTTGAATTGTTTTGGTTGAAGCTGAAGTATTCATTTGCTGGTAGGACATTGTAGCAGATGATTTTATGTACTATGCTTAGGCCAGACTGAAGACGGCGAAATTCTAAGTTGTCTAAGCCCAAAATTTCGAGTCTGGTGGGATAAGGTATTTTGTTGTGAGTAGAGGAGTGAGGACTCTTCTTGTGAAATATCTCTGGGCTTATTCGATTGTATTACTGTCCGATATGCAGTGCGGGTTCCAGACAGATGAGCTGTATTCAACAATTGGTCTGGCAAAAGTTTTGTATGCCCTAGTTTGCAGTTCAATATTACAGTTCAATGTTATATCAATATTCAATATTATAGTTTGCAGTTCAATATTTTTGTTTTCAAGAGATACTAAGCATGATTCTATGTTGGCAAGGGACCATGTGTAAACATGTTTCTATGTTGTTAAAGGATGATAGTTCTATTTCCATGGTGTTGATCTTATCGGACATGATACTGACTTGGTCTAATTTGGGTTTGCATGATGGGCAGAGATGAGTAAGTAAATTTGTGGGTTTCTGTAGAAATTGGATGTTTATCTGCCTTAGCTTCTGCCAATTAGCTTGTTGATGCTTTGGTTGCTGTTCGGTTGCTGTAGAAATCTGCCTAACATTTCCTGTTTCAGAGGCGAATGCAATGTAGCTAATAATAAAGGATATGAGAAAAGTCAAGTCTTCAGGTTGAAGTCAACTTTTAGTGACTTTGTGAAAACCAACGTAGCTTTTTTGTGGACAGAATACCAAGATGGTTTGACATAATCTTCTTTTGAGATGGATATTTATTTATTTGTTTGTTTGTTTGTTTGTTTGTTTGTTTGTTTGTTTTAATTTGTATACCGCCCTTCTCCAGCAGGACTCAGAGCGGTGAACAGCCGGAATAAAACAGAACATACAAAATTTAAAAAGTTTAAAAATAATTAAATATTTTTGGTAAAGTTGCATACACAGAAAAATGTACAAAGGCTTCTTCTGTTTAAATTCAGCTATTTTTGTAGCAGCGCTTAAAACTCTTTGCTGAGGCTGTCTAGTACATGGATGAAATAATTATTTACCACCCTCTCTTATACTTTCCACAATCATCACAAATTCTCTGTAATACTTATGCTTGATTGTAACAGAAAACAACCTTAAACCTTAATCAGGCTATACCGTTCTGATTGCTGAGAAAGGATATAAAGCCATTGAACCAGTGGTGGGATTCAGCCAGTTCGCACCACTTCGGGAGAACCGGTTGTTAAATTTCTGAGCAGTTTGGTGAACTGGTTGTTGGAAGAAATCATTAGGGAGAGAACCGGTTGTTAAATTAGTTGAATCCCACCACTGCATTGAACATATATTATGCCACAATACAATACTCATCTCATGTTATAAATGCTCATAAGAAAACAACTGCAGAAGGATGGAGCATCTAAAGAGAAGAGAGAGCAATCTATCTAAGAGGAGGGAAGGGACAAATAGATGGCTTTGTGGAAGGAACTGTGTAGATTATAGAAGAAAAATCAGATACAATTATTAACTAGATTGACAAGAGTAGCTTGACTACTCTTCCTCCCATGCAGGAACATAGCAAAGTCATAAATACAGTAGGTAAGATAGTGATTCTAGTGTGGGAAGAAATATCCATCTGATTCAGTTCCAAACCTGGAGAAAGACACTGGAAACATGGAGGCTGATTGGAAAGTGTGTCCATTTATTGACGAAGCAGAACCACCAAGCACATGGTTCTAATGCAGCTGACAAAATGGAGGGAGGGGTTTTTATACCTTCTTTGGCCTTTGCACTTAAACTTCCTGTTCCTGTGCAGGAATATGTATTCTATTGGCTGTCAGTTTGCTGTGGGGGTCATGTATGGGTTATGTGGGGGTCATAGCTGGCTCTATAGGCAAAGTACAAATTGTAGGTGTTTGTCTGAGCTAAGTTTGGTTGAAATTTGGACCGCTCTGAGGCTGATGCAATAATTCCTATTGTGGCTTAATGGCTTTGTCCTGTGTTGGATCTTGAGTAAGGGCTAATCCTACCATTCTGCCTTTGTTTCAAAATATCCTGTCTTGAATGGATTTCTGCCTGCAGTATTTGCTTTGCCTATGAATAGAGCAATCTCTTTATCTCTTAAGTGCTGACATCTGCTGGGTATTAAGGAAAGTGGGGGTTGCTTTCTGCCTCTAAAAAAACATGTTTCTCCATTTTTCCCTTTGGGGATTTTTTTTTTTAATATTCCTCAAAATATTTCATTTTTCTAGGAGGGGGGTGACTTCTCACAATAGTTTCACATTTTTGGAAAGGAAATAAGCCCGTTTGCCTTATGCCAAGTGTATGAAGTTAGCACTCACACCTCTCCTAGAAAAATGAAATATTCTAAGAAATATTAAAAAGACAGAACATTTCCCCTAAAAGAGAGATAGAAATCTTAAGACAGAAACTCAGCCCCAGCTCCCTGCCCCCAGCAGATATTTTGGTTATTTACAAGACAAAAGGCTGGGCCAGCTTATCTACAACACAAAAGACATGGCCCTCAGGACATGATAGGATTAGCCCTCAGTCAAGATCCAAACCAGGACAAAGCCATTAAGCCATAATAGGAATTGGCCAAAGCCCCTTCATTACATCATTACCCAGCAAGATTCAACCAGGTCTACAAAGTTAGCTAAGACCCACACCCCCTGGAAGTCTGACAGCCAATGGGATACATTTCTTGTACAGGAACAGTAAAATAAGGCAGGGCCCAAGAGAGTGTATAAATATATCCCTGTCTCCACTCCGTGTGCTTTCTTTTTTTTGCCCAGGATCCAAAAACCTTATGTGGTCCTGTCCACTATTAAACCAGCTTTCCAAGCAGTCTCCGTGTTTCTAGTGTCTTTCTTCCCACTTGGAACTGAACCCAGATGGACATTTCTTCCAACACAAGCGTCTGGTATTTTTAATATTCTTGATAGCAATCAGGTGAATTGATCTAAACTTAAGGGTAACCACAGGAGGTTATTGGTTAATCACAATAAGTAAGGCACAAGTGCCTGTTCCACATTGCTAAGCCACGTTTTGTAAAGATTAGCTTTAGACAGATAAAATCAGACCAAGAAATCATACATTCAAGGTAAAGAAATGTACAGGAAATGTACAGGTCCCACTCTGATTGGCAAACAGTGGTTTATGTGTTCTAGCACATCTAGCACCCATGACCACAGTTAAATCTGTTTTCAAAGTAGCTTAATTTTCAGGGCCAGATCGTATTAACTTTAGTTACACAGAATTCTTTGTTGAGCCTACAGGGTTACGAAAGTATTATTATTCCTCTAAGTAGAAACGCATCTTCAAAAATATGATGATCCGCCGTATTCTTCAAGGACACATAGCGAAACTTAAAATCATCTTCTCCCCGAGAAGTATCCTGAAGAGCCAACTTTCGATTCCCGAACGGGGACCGCCTTCCCCGTCGACAACGGGGCGTGATCTCCCGCCTCCCAGTTCTCTGCAGGCAAAATCGCTCAGTCCCACGTTCGGAGCCTTGTGGTCGTCCGCTTCCTCCCCTTGGAAAAGATGGCGAACCCAATCCAGTTCTCCCACTCGCTGCAGGGCCAGGCAGGCTTGCCGAGTTATGAGCAGCTGAAGGAGGAACACGATATGGGAATCCTCGAGGCTTCCGGGGTGCCGCCTGGGGCCACCGTGATCCGCATGCACTCGCCGCAGGTCTATACAACGCCGCCCCGCGACCATATCATTTGGTCCCTCTGCACCACCTTATACTTCAACGTTTTCTGCCTTGGGTTTTGTGCCTTGGTTTATTCCGTGAAGGTGAGAAAAGGCGCTGGGTGTTTTTGTGTGCATTTCCCGCTTCTCCGCCCTTCCCGCTCGTTCCCAGGGGCATATTTTCGGGGGGAAAACGAGGTTCCGATCGGACGCTTGCGTTTTAAAGTTAACTGGCCTAAGAACTCGATCCTAACTATCGGTACTCCGACCTTCGCGGGATTTCTAATTAGCAGTGGGTTCATTAAGGCCATTTACCTTTACCTTTACATTTAAGGTCGTGCCGCTGTAGACCGCCGGGCCGGATTCGCGAATTGATTTTCCTCCTTTGGAGCCTAAACCGAGCTTTGGAGGAAAGAAATCGCCTGCCGTGGTTGGGAGTGACTTGGTCCTCTTTTAAGATAGTCCAGTATCTCTATACAAGCGGAAAGCTACCTTGAACTAGAGAGCTAAAGCCAGGTAGCTCAGAGAAGGGAATCAATGCGGCTGCCCTATGTAATGTAAAGTGGAAATTCCGCACGAAAAAGGAGTCTGCTCCCCCCCCCCGCGCGGTTTTTTGTTTTTTTTGGCGTTTATTGTATAAACCATACGTTTACTATTCTGTAATTTCTTCTCGTTGGCTGGATTTGTAAATCATCGGTCATATTTATTCTAATAAATTGAGTGAACCCAACCTAAAGACTTAGTTATTGGTTGTCACCTGAAAACTTTTATTTTTAATTTTTAAATGTTTAAGCCAACTGTACATTGTGCATGGTGTATACCATTTCTCATTTTGAAGGGGGAGTTGTTTCCCCACAGCTGTAAGATATTTTTATTTATGTTTATCCCATCTTTAATACTTTTATAAAGAAGTTGAGGCAGTGAACATACCAAATACTCATTCTTTCTCCTGTTTTCTCCACAACAACCCTCTTGTGAGGAAGATTGGGCTGAGGGGGAGAGAGAGTGACTGCCCACCCAGCTGGCTTTCATGCCTAAGGCAGGACTGCTACTCAAGTCTCCTGGTTTCTAGCCTGGTGCTGTGCTTGAACATGCATGTTTATTACTTCATAACTCAATATTTCATGGGGTGGCAAATGATGTTCTTAAAAAGAATGATCTGTGTAGTGATATGAAGATACTGTTTTGATACACCCTGGGGCACTTACACAGGCAAGTTAACACCTGAGGCTGCATTTGTTAAGCTATGCATTGGCAGGTATGAAGCAGCCTTAAATCTTGAAAGAATTAAGGAATGAAAGTATCTGAGTAGCATATCAGTAGCATATTGCCATCTTGTACAGTTTTTACAGGCAAGAGAGAACTGGCCAAGTTTACATAGTACATTGGGAGCTGAATGTTAGGTGAACTTGGCTAGTTATGGTTTATTCAGGAATCTATGATGAAACAAATCCTGACTTAATGTTGAAAAAAATGCTTCTGCTTTCTAAGATTGCAGAACTTTTCTGCAAATACTGAAGTGTAAATACAATATTTGCATTTTTGTGCATTCGGTCCTTACATTCAGTTTTCTATAGTGGGTATGCAGGGTGTCCAGCCATAGAGAAGAACATGGTATATCTCCATCTACTACTATGCTTGGCATCTGATGGACCTGCTCTGGGAATCATCACCAGACATCTGAGTTATTTTGCCCATGTGTGCAGCTGAATTCATGCATTCTGCTAAGCTTTATCTCATGAGCTTTTCCATGGATGATGTAGGAAGAAACATCCTTCTGGGTCCTGCTCCAAGTGGGGAAAAAGACACTGGAAACATGGAGACTGCTTGGAAAGATGGTTTAATGGTGGACAGGATCACATGGTTTGAGTTCCTGAACAGAAAAAAAGGGAGGAATACAGCCAGTTCACGGGTTTTTATGCTCTCCCTGGCTTTGAACTTTCTGGGGCCCAGAAAGAATATCCCGATTGGTTGTCAGACTCCCAGGGGGTGGGGGTCTTAGCTAGCCTTGCTTGCTGACTGATGTAATCTTTCCAGGTGCCATGTGGTGAGTTTCTGTCTAGATGGGTCCCATTGTGTTAGTTTCTGTTGCTATTGTGTTGCAGATGAAGGTCCATTGACAAAGATTGAGTTTCTGCCTCTAGCCCATGAACAAAAGGGTGGGGGCAGGAAGGTGGGAGCTGCTTTGTCTTTAAAACATGCTTCTCCATTTCTCATCCAGGGAAACATAATATTCTGCCTTTTTAATATTTCCCAAAATATTTCATTCTTCTAGGAAAGGGATGGGTGCTAACTTCCTACAATGTTGCTGAGAAATTCAAGTTGTCCACACTGCCAATACAGTTATCATACTACATATTTCCTGATGTGAATTAATCTGTCCAATCATTATAATTTTCTGCACTTTGTTTGGAATATAATTTAAGATATAATCCATAATACACAACATTGACAAATCAATTTAGATAATTTCACAGAATAGCTCACTGGTAGAAAAATGAGATGTCTAACCCAGTGCAGAGAATTCTAACAAAAAGCCAGATTAATTCACATATACAAGTATGCTGCATGATAATTGTACTGGCAGTTGGACAACTGAAACTGAGTTCCTTAATTTTCAGTTACTGCTTTTGCATCTAAAACCCAAGCTTTCTGAAGCACCAGTTTTAAAATGCAATGGGTGGAAAGAGGAACTTCACTTCAAAGGGAGTAATCCTACTCTTAAAGCTGCAACTGAGTGCAGTGAAATCAAAATTAAGCTCACCTGAGGAAATTTATATAGAAGTGCAATGAAAAATGCCTGTTCTTAAAGAGATCTTGGTATGTACGGCCTCCCAAAACATAAAGAGAAGTGTATGATGCTTCTTTGAATTCATTGATTTCTAAATTTGCTACTCCTCAGTGTAGACAATAATCCAGACTACTGCAGACACAACTGTACAGCCACATTTTACATGCATTAAAAGAGTTAGTGTTAAGCTATTAAGGTAGACCTCGACTTACAAACATTTGTTTAGTGACCATTTAAAAAATTACACCTGAAAAAGGTGACTTATAACCATTTACACTTAGGACTATTACAGGTTCCCTGTGGTCACCTGATCAAAATTAGAATGTTTGGCAACTCACATGTATTTATGACGGTTGCTGTGTCCTAAGATCATGTGATCATTCTTTGCAATCTTCTGACAAGCAAAGTCAATGGGGAAGCCAGATTCACTTAACCATATTACTAACTTAACAACTGCAGTGATTCGTTTTACAACTGTGGCTTCAAAGGTTATAAAATGGGGCAAAACTCGCTGAACAACCATCTTGTTTAGCAATGGAAATTTTGAGTTCAATTGTGGTTATAAATCAAGAATACCTGTACCTAACCTAAACAGGCTGTTTCCTGAAAGTGGGGAAGAGTAATGGGAGCCATGCAACGTAATTCCAATTATATTTCTGGAGTACTGTAAGGCAAAGACAAAAATGTGTTCGCTTCCTAGAAACCATAATTCATGTAACGAACAATATTGCAAGTTTCAGCCACATTTGTTCTACATAGCTCATCTTTGCAAGTGAGATGTTTTGGCCTGTTCTCAGTTCCCTGATTATGTCAACATGGTATTAATGGATGCATTTCTACTGTTTTGCAGAGAATATTTTCTGTTTAGTTTGGAGCCATAATTGAAGCTCAGGAGGCTGACAATAGTTCGTCTATGGGTTGCTTCTAGTAATGGATCTTTTCTTTCTTCTTTCCTAACAGGCCAGAGATCGCAAAGTGATTGGGGATTACAATAGTGCTGCCAGCTATGGCTCTACTGCCAAGTGCCTGAACCTTGTTGCCCTCCTGCTGAACAGCCTGGGTCTTGTTACTATCATTGTCGTCATTGTAATAGTGTTCTCTCAAAATCACTGAACCATGCACCAGCACAATTATCTTTTGAAAACTATCCACCTCCTATCCTTGATAAAAAAGCTATATCTTGGTGGTTGACCTTCTCCCTTCACCCCTAATCCTAGTGTGGTGTTGTTTTGAAAACAGCTCTTGCTTTGAGAAACTAGTAGTGTACAGCAACTGCAACAATGGCTCTCTTACCAATGTCAAGTTGGAAGTGGCCAAGGGTCCATCTCAAGAGCTGGAATGTATAATTGCATTATGTGTGATTTCAGACTGTTTCTTAAATATTACACATGGCTTTGCTGCCTCTTTGGCACTCCTGGCTTATTTTTCTACTGGTTATTCTCAGGTAGCCTTTTCTTCTATTGAATGTTACTGATCTGGAAGGATCATGGTGTAACCTGAGGGAAAGAATCACTCTGTGCTGTTTTTTGTATTTTTCTATGGCTTTTGTAATAGAAAATGCCTTTAGAGATTGTCTTATATTCTAAAATAATTATTCAATTTTTTTCCCAAATAAATTGTATGGGCTTGATCATGTTTGTAGGGTTTTTAAGGAGCTACAACCCATCGCAGTGAAACTGAGCTTATAAAATGTACCTCTGCTATAAGACTGGTGTTAACCTGAAGTACCTGCACATTGTGTATTCCAGCTACCATCTGATGGCATTTCCATAGTATCTTGGAGATGGCTCATAAGTAGCCATTCCCCCTATACCAGTGGTGGTTGCTACTGGTTCGCCCCAGATCGGGTGAACCGGTAACAGTGGCGACGGGAGGCTCCGCCCACCTGCCTGGACGCTTATGCGCAGAAGTGCTGTGCATGTGAGCGTGCACACGCCCATGAGCAAACCAGTAGCAACGGGATTTGAAACCCACTACTGCCCTATACCTTATAAGACACAACAGCCATTTTAAAAAATCAATTTTTCCCCATCCCAGCTTCTCCCAAGCAAACACTATTCAGGAGGAGTTTATAAGGGATTGCTGGGGTAATGATCATAATTTATCACTTTAGACATTGATCCACACAAAGTATCTTTCTCAGAGATACCTTGCCGTGGCAAATGTATACAGTGCTTATGCCATGGAAATAAATTTAAATGGCATTGTGACATCTGTGCAAACACATTTCTCTCAGAGATCATACCTAAATTCCTATGCATTACTAAAGTGTTCACTTGAAAGAATTAAATCTGGAGAAATCTTGGGAGCTGCAGGCGGACGACTATTGTACAAGGGTGTAAGTTTTTATTCTCTGGAACTGACTTCCTGCAGATTTTCTGGAAAATCTGGGCAACAATCCATTGACAATTATCTAGCTCAGGACGTAACAAATCACAGAATTGCTTGGAACAGACTTGGAAGCTAATTTTAGCACTGGACATTCCAATGCATTCAGTCAGAATTCTAGGATAGTAAGGGCATGGGATAATGTTATACAGAAATTTACAGTTCTGCACTTGGGACTGGTGAAGAAAACATAGTAATAACTCGAAGTAGAATAATAAACAATCTTCTAATAAACCTACATAGTCCTAATTCTGCATTCGACTTTTCATACTGCTGGCCCTGCAATCCTGGATAGCTACCAGAACAAGCACAAAGCAAGATGGAGAAAACTTGCTTATAAGAGGATTTTGTAGCAGGCAGTCCTTTTTTTCAGAAAGGTAACAGTTTTTTGTAGGTTTCTGGATTGGTGCTTTATAGAATCTTAGCCAAAATCACCATTATTGCAATATGTCCATATAGCCCTTTTATTTCAAATTGGATCTTTTCTTGATTGAATTGAGTAGTGTATGTGTCCAGGAATTCAGTGTTTGTTTCAACGTATCTGCTGTGTAAAAAGAAGGCAGCTTCCTCTTGGTGCTCCCTTAAAACACGTCTTAAAAAACGTAATATGTAGAAATCCAAATACAAACTGTCCTTTGTAGATGTTTTCTATTCATTCTCATTCACACACTAAATAGAGAAGTGACTCTATGGTTTATTCATTTCAGGGGAAAAGAGATTGGTGGTGTTGCAAACATGGACTGGGAGAGACACACTGTTTGTTCAGAGTTGCTTCACACAAGCTAGTCAGAATTTTATGGATTGCATCATCCTAGCAAATAAAACCACTGAAGATGAAATCATAACATGAGGAATTTCACACTGCTTCTCAAATGTTTTTATAGTGACATATACTCATGTTCATCTGGAAGACCAAGAATTTAGTAACCAAGTGAAAAACCATATTATTGGTAGATCTTGCAGAATATTCTTCATAGCTCTGTAATGAGATGTCCACAGTCACAAATTTTAATTAAACCATTTAATTAAACCCAGTTGAAACTGAGCTAGGCTTCCCTGTATCTATTTTCCAAAGTTACTTCAAAGCTTAATGGCTTCATGGTAAGAATTGCTTCTTTTTCAAACAATGCAGCCTAATATATACTATCCCCGGTAGGAGAAAGTATTGCTGCAGATCTTCATTCTAGTTAGTCTGGAAGCCTAAAACAAAAGGGTTTTCATTGGGCTGTTCCTGGAAAAGAAATACACAGGGAAGCACAGCAGCAAAATGCATTTACTATGATAGTAAAGAGAAAGAAAATACACAGGGAAGCAAATTACAGAGTGCAGGGGAGATGCAGTATGATTTATTTTAAAGTGTATCGTGTAAGTACTGACGCTAATCAGGACAGGTTTTCCACTCGTGTGCTCTCCAAGGAGGATGAGGGCACACTTGTCTCAGATAGCCCAGCTATTGACTGCTAATGGACATAACAAAACTGAAATAAAATGGTAGATTTACAGGTGGTCTTCATTAGATGATCACAATTGAGGCCTCCAACTTGGTTGGTAAGTAACGTGATCACTAAGTGAAACTGCTTACGATTTTACTTCAGCTTTCCTTTGCTTTACAAACCCGTGAAAGTTATAAATGCAAGGATTGGTTGAAAAGTTATTTCTTTATCACTGTTGTAACATGAATGATTGCTAAATGAGACTTTTGCTAAACAAGTACTATTTGTATAAAAATATACATAGGATAAAGAATCCCCCGTTTTACCTAAATTGCATTTTGAAAGGCAAGAGGTCAAAAAGAAGTTCCTAGATTCTTAAACATAGACACTCGATTTATTAACAAAGGCCAGGTAAAAGACAAACATTTAGGAAGAAAACGTGACGTATCCTTATCTATTTCTCAATGTTTGCTGTGGTGGTCGAAAAGGCTCATGGGGCAAGAATGCAATCTCCAATAACAAGAGCTAAATAAATTTGTGTATTCAAGAGCAGAAACCAATTGCATAAAAGGGAAAAGGTCCAGTTCTATTTTATTGATAGTTATATATTATGTAGGGTGCGATTCCATGTGTATAATAACAGTACAATATATTTCCCCAGAAAACACTAAAGAGGATATCAAATAGTTTGCCAGGCTCCTTTTGATTACCAAAGAAATAACAAGAAAAAGCTGATGTGTCATTGGCAAATGTTATGCCTATTATTCTCCCCCTCCCCTCATAAAATTGCCTGGGATGAATTCATGGCTATGACAACTTGATTTAGAGATATTCTTTGGCTCTGCCTGTGATTGCTTTACCAAGATCTAACAATCAGCAATGCAAATGGGAAGAGTTGAGGAGGGAATGTGTGTGCCACCTTAGCTTAGAAAGATCATTTTGGGTTCTTAATAACATTTTTATTTCTCCTTATTAGAAATGCTGTATAAAGGGTGTCATGGAAAGAACTGTTGAAGGCACCTGAGCTTTCTTGAAATTGTATTCTCAACTAAAATTGATTAGATTTCTCCCTAATACACAAGGAGATCAGTTTTGTTTGAGAAAGGGAATTGTGTTTTGATCTCTTGGCTTGATCAGAAATACCGTATTTTTCAGAGTATAAGACGCTCCGGAGTATAAGATGCACCTTAGTTTTGAGGGAGGAAAATAAGAAAAAAAAATATTCTGCCTCTGTCTACCAGCATCCATGGGTTTTCATCTGGCTAACGTCCTTAGCAAACAGCCTGGTCAGCTTCAGCATATTAGCCTGATTCAGCACAAGCAGCTGATTGGCGGGTGGATTGCCTCCCGGAATACCCTCAATTAGCTGTTCCCAGAGGTGAACCAGTAACAGGTTCGCTGGTTGTGAGCAAGCACGCACCTCGTTGGGGCAGATACGCAGCTTCAAAAATGCAGCTGATTGTCGCAGGGCGCTCCAATGAGTACAGCAGGGGAAGCGCGGAACCAGTCTGACAAGGAAGCAGCTGTTCCAGCTTGCCATTTTGGCCCCTTCGCCTCACTTTTCCACCCTCCAAAAGCTCTGTTTGAGAGGCTGCCTTTGCAGCCTCCAAAAGATTCAAAAGCTCCGTTTGGCTGCCTTTGCAAAGAGAAGTTTTGCAAATGGAGCTTTTGGGGGCTGCAAAGGCAATCTCTCAAACGGAGCTTTTGGAGGCTATGTGAGAGGCTCTCCATTTGAGAGGCTGTGTTTGCAGCCTCCAAAAGCTGTTTGAGAGGACATGCGGAGGCTGAAGGGTGGGGGCCGACGGGTGGGCGGGACCAGTGGTGGGCTGCTCCCACTTCGGTCCGGTTCTTGCGAACCGGTAGTAATAGTGGCGGCAGGCTCCGCCCCCTTGCCCAGACATCATCATGGATGATCTGTGCATGCGCAGAAGCATGCACAAGCGAGCACACGCACGCACTCCCGTTGTGAACCAGTAGTGGAGGTAAGTAGAAACACACACATACCCCGAGCAAGACTACATTTGGTATATGAGATGCAGCCAAATTTTCACCCTCTTTTAGGGCGGAAAAAGTGTGTCTTATACTCTGAAAAATACGGTATCTACTTTTCATAAACCTTGAGAAAAATGGGGAGGGATAGCAAATCACACAACATAGTAGATCAAAACAAAATTGCACTTCCGAATTTTAAAATGTTTGGAACCAATTCTTTCAAAGTTACTCCTAAATCCCATTAAAAGCAATAAGAATGGACTTGATCAAATATAATTAATCTGGGGAAAATATTTTTGAGCCTAGTACAACTGACAAATTGACTTCTGTAACTAACATATATTTTTGCATATAAATTTTTGGTAAAATAAAAAAAAAATAAAATAAAACATGATTATGCTTGTGCTGCATGTTCTAATGAATTCCCTGAATTACAAAATATCCAGCCATATTTCAGACTTGAGTGTTGTACAAACCCAGTCTGTATCATTAGTTTATATATCAGTGTGCTGATATATCCAACCCCCATCTTCTATTTCCAATCAACATAGGTAAAGTACCACCCTTACTGGTAGTAGAACAATTCCTTATTAAAAGAACAGTTGGATTTCATCATGTACTAAAAGGAAGTACATGCTGTACTTCAATTGAAAACATCTGATTATTTATCCCAAGCCTGAATTACAGTAAATAAGCTTTTGTTGGAAGGAAAAAGTAGTTTTTCCCTTTAAGATTGTCGGAAGGCAGAGCTTTCCCTTCTTAACTTCAAAACTCCCGGCTGGGAGATTACTTCGCCAATGATTGGAGGTCAGCTGCTTGAGAGCAGAATTAGTTTATTGTTTATAGGAAGGCAGGCAAGAAACAAATACAAGCACAGCGTTCAGAGGCTAGCCTGTTTGAACTGTAAGAGTAACCCTTTTTTATATGCTAAAACGTCTTTTGATTTTCTATGTGACCCTTTAAAGTCTTTTGAAATTCTTTTGATTTGGCGTGTGAATCCTTTGATTTGTGTGTGTGATTGTTTTATGGTGTTGAAATCCTGTTTTTGTTTGTGATTGGGTTCTTCCGTCCTGGATCTGGCAAATAAATAATTGTTTTATAGTCCACTCTCTGTTTTTCCCAGCCCTTTGTAGTTGTTCATTCCCTATAATTATTCAGCTTGCTATTTCTGTGTTTTCTCCTTTTTCTCATGTGTTTAAATTACTTTCGCTTGATTTTTTTCCCTTTTTTGGGTGTTTGTTTTTCTTTCCTGTGTCCCATATCTGTTTGGATGTTGCAGGCCCCTGTAATTTCGTCCTTCCTTTGTTGTGGAAAATAGGGTGGCTTCAGCTTCTTAATGGCCCATTGATAAAGGTGGGGGCTGAAACTCTGCCTGAGTTTCTGCTTATTTCTTTTAGGGGAATTTCCCTGCTCTTTTAATATTGAGTTTCTCATATCTTCCAACAATTTCATATGAAATATAATGGCTGACTAATGAAGAAAAAAGCAATATTAAGCAATTAGCATTGGAAGGGAAGTAGTACTAAATTTAAAAGCTGTTTACCAGTCTTCTTTTTCCCAGAATTCGATAGTCATCAGTTTGCAGCTGATATACATATTGTGTACCAGAGTTACAAACAGTTAAACTTTAATTAAATTTTCACCCAAGGAAGATTGACCTCTCTTCTGCAGGAAAAAAAAAAGTGAATTATATGATGCAAGACAGGACATATGGTTGCTAGTAAAGACTGTTTCTTCACAGTTGGGGCAAGATTCTTTTACAATGGTTTCTAAGTTCCCTTTGATTGAAATGAACTTTCAATCTCTTCTATTGTTCTCTTTTGCTTTGCATTATCTATGAGAAGTAAAGTTTATGAGTTGGGATAATTTCACTGTCAGAATATACTATTTCACTAAAACTTAAGACATAATGTAGTATTGTCTCACTTTGCAATATTGTAAATGTGACCCAGAGAATGTTTCAGGGAAACACATCATATGAAGTCAATTTATCTATGATATTGGCAGATATCCAATAGGGCTATTGTGAGTCCTGATGGTAAGGACAAATAAATACCCTGTACTTACTATAAAAGTGTTCAGTTTTCCACATCTACTCGGAGGCTATACATACAGAGTTTCTGAACATCCAAAGTTTGCTGCAACTTTCCTTGTATCAATCTCTTACTTGCCCACCAAATCTGTGAGAAGAAGAATCAGATCCATTCCAGTTTGTCCTTTCCAAATCAGGAGAGAACAAGAAATCAAAATAATTCACTTTTATTTTCATTGGAGAAGGAAAGAGTTAATTCTTCTGGATCTCTCAAGAGCATTTGATGTCATTATCTGGGTTCAGACAGAACCCTAAACCAAACTGTGACTATTTATGGATCAGTATCTTATGCAGATCCAGCCAGTAAGATTAGTTTATGCCATCAATATCTGATGTAGACCCAGGCAATTGGTTGATTCAATAAACCATGGCTAATTTAATCAATCATGAACTAGTGTGCTGTAGGAACATAGCCACATATTTTCTGGAAATGTTATTTGGATTTTGATAATTCAACAACTCTCATGGCTAAAAGAAGACCTTGGGTTTCTTAAAGACCCAGTTTCAAATCTTTCATGAGGTATGGAAACTCCCCGCCCCCCAGGCTGATTGTAGCCCAGTTACTCCCTCTCGGCCCACCATAACTTTCAACGTGTTATTGTGAGGAAAAAAGTAATTTACAATATTATGATATATTTTTCAAAAAAGGAAGATTGGTAAAACATATTAACATTGCCTACATTTTGAAAACAGTAATTGGACAGAATTTCTCTCTCATTCAGCTAGAAAGACATACAACAAAAGGAGAATTTTCTCTCACAATTGTAGCCATCAACTTGAATAGATTTATTAAAGGATTGGATATGAGAAACAAATCTGCATTCTCTTAATTTCAACTTTTTGAAGCATAAATTTCAATAGGCCTACTCAATACTGTTCCATGGAGTTAAAGAAGTTTACTGCCAGTTACAATATATATATCCCATTTGATAAAAAGCGTCCCTGAAAGAGATCTAAATCAAGATGGATCGATGACATCAGCATAAGAAAATTTATGGAATAAATTCAAACTAAAAGATAAAAAGTATGACATGCTTTGTGATTATATAAATATGAATCAGTGGTGGGTTGCCCCCATTTAAACCGGTTCACAAGAACTGGTAGTAAAACCAGCGGGAGGCCCTGCCCACTGCCCCGGATGTCGTCATCGGCAATCTGTGCATGCGCAGAAGTTTCTGCGCATGTGCAGAAGCAAGGCACATGTGCAGAAGTAAGGCGCGCACGAGAGCGCGATCCCATTGCAAACCGGTAGTAAAGGTAAGTAGAACCCACCCCTGATATGAATCAATCATAGCAAAACAAATTGTATAGGTCAAGTATAGAACTCTGAATCAACTGTATCAGAGGAAGCTTTGATTTCAAAGAATATGATGGTTTTAATATTAAAAGGCAACTGAAAGAACAATCTAAGGAGATATCTATTGTTACGGTCTGCTATTAGGCATAGTAAAAGCTCTGATACCTAGTGTGTGTGTGTGTGTGTGTGTGTGTGTGTGTGTGTGTGTGTGTGTGTGTGTGAAGAGGAAGCCAAATACAGTACTAGATTCTTAACTGCTGTATCTAAGACTATTTTATATTTTCAAATGGACCTAATCCAAACCCCATCATCTATGAAAAAAATGCTAATTCTCAGATTTGGTGTAATCATCAATCAATCCTTGAGTATTTAAAAATACACATTTATCAGATCCAAGGGCAGGTTTATTTAGCACAACAAAACTGATAACTGTCTTCAGATGCAATAATTTGTCATTGCAAAACAAGGTGGCAGGTAATTAAATCCACTAAATCATTCCATTTCTTTTTCACAAGGTAAAAACTCCACATGTAGCTGGTTCAATAGCCTTGCAAGTCTCTGAAGATATCCATAATGAAAGTGGCACAGGCAATATATTAAAAATCTTTTCAGCTTTCAAGGCATACCAAATGACAATTGTTGCCCCCTTTTATTTTCTAGGCTGGTGTTATGGAAACTCTCTTGAAGGAATGCAATGACAGGAAGTTTGAGATCAGCTTGTACAGCTGCTGCCAGTGCAATTTCTGTTTAATACAAAAAAACCTCAGAAAACAAAGGAGTGTATTTTCTAGCCTCTTGAAACCAACAGTCTCAATCAAAAGCATATTACAGGTCATTGTCATAAGTTCACATGCAAAATAGCAGTCTATTTGCTTTCTCAGATACAAAGAACGAGTGTAGCTTTGAACAATGAGAACTTTTAAGATTTAATAGAATGCACTATATTTATTTCTGCAGCCAAAGTTCCATTTATGAACCTCTGCTTCTGGGCTGAGCTTTCAAGAGTGTACATCCCATTCATTTTCGTTTAAAGTTTTAAGCTAATGTTGCAGTTCTAACAAACTTTATGCTGGGAATGGAATAAAGCTACTGGTAAATTCTCAGAACTCTCTCTGCCAAAACTTCTACCCTTCTAGGCAGAACCTGCTGGGTTTCAGCAGGTTCTGACCAGTTCTGGAGAACGGGTAGTAAAAATTCTGACTGGCCCTGCCCCCATCTATTCTCTGCCTCCCAAATCCCAGCTGATCGAGAGGAAATGGGGATTTTGCAGTAACCTTCCCCTGGATTGGGGAGGGAATGGAGATTTTACAATATCCTTCCCCTGAAGTAGGGTGGGAATGGAGATTTTACAGTATCCTTCACCTGCCACACTCACCAAGCCATGCCACGCCCACCAAGCCACACCCACAGACCCGTAGTAAAAAATTTTGAAACCCACCACTGCTTCCAGGGCGTGGGAAAAAGAAAATGTACTTTAGAATATTGACTTCTTCAATCCAAAGCCTTGCAAAACTGCTGGACATATCCCAATGTTGATGTAAATACTGCCACACTATCAACTGGGGACTTGAAAGCTAAATTTAGTCACTGTAGGAAAAACCAGGGCTTCCAGAACAACTTTCTGGGAAATAATAGATTCCCATCTGAAGAGTCAGCTAGAGACTTTCAAGCTGAACTGTCTAATGCAAGAAGGAAAGATTCAGTGTATTGGGGCAATGAAAAATCCAGTTTTGGGGACAAGTTAGGATTGTAAAAATGGGGAAAGTTCCACTGATTCACAATGAAATCAGATTGTTTCATTATAAATGTGCCAGAACAACTTTAAAGCTGAGGTGTAATCTGCATGAAAAGCATCCAATGAAATTTTCCAAAGTTTAATAAACTTTTACCAGATTCCTGATTTTTTTTTCTCTTCTATGGAGGCAGAATTCTGACTTAAAAACCAAAAACAGGAGGAGGAAAATAAAACGATAAATTTATTTCTATCTTTGCAATCCTTTCTTCTAATCTACATTTCTAGAAGCACCTTTAAAAAAAAAAAAAAAGGTTAATCCAAGAGTGGACGGACCATCGGGGCCGACTTTTCGCTTGTTTACTAAACGTAGATCTGCAGAATTTTCAAAACGGCTTTTAAGAGCGAGGCAAGGCCGACATCGCGGTACCAAGAGCCCTAAAATTCGCGGTGCAAAGGACAGCATTAACTCCCCGCCCCTCGCAAGGAAAAAGCCCTTGCAACATTCCCCCCCACCACCACCTCTACTCTCCTGCCCATTTTCGCACCGCATGGGGGCGCGAGCCGCATTGGTTAAGCTTCCCGTCCAATCAGCGGAGGCCGAGAGCTGTACCGTTTGGGGGCGTCTCCGCGAGCTCGGCCGCGCTCATGCCCGCCTCTTTTCGGCGTTGGTCGCCGTTGGTGAGAGGAGGGTTGGTTTGGCCATGGAGCCTCAACAGACAGAGGTCGTCATGCGCCCCACCTTTCAATACCCCAAGGCCATCGCTAATCCTGCGGTCAGGGATCATGTGGTCTGGTCGCTGTTCAGTTTAAATTGCTGCAATTGCTGTTGCCTTGGCTTGTTCGCCCTCATCTACTCCATTAAGGTGAACGCAGCTGGGAAGCGCCCTCTCATTTCACCCCCCCCTCCCCCGTCCTCTTTTTTCACACTCGGCTGCTTCTCTCTCACACCCTACCCATTTCTTTCTGGTCTTCAAGATCTCTACTTCGGCTTCTCTCTAAATCGAGGATGGCTTTTGTTGTAACAGTAACAGAGTTGGAAGGGACCTTGGAGGTCATCTAGTCCAACCCCCCTGCTCACGCAGGAGACCTATACAGGAGTGGTGAAATCTAAATTTTTCTAACTACCGGTTCTGTGGGCATGGTGTGGCTTGGTGGCCATGGCAGGGGAAGGATACTGCAAAATCTCCATTCCCATCCCACTCCAGGGGAAGGATACTGCAAAATCCCCATTCCCTCCCCACTCCTGGGGGAAGGATATTGCAAAATCTCCATTCCCACCTCACTCTGGAGCCAGCCAGAGGTGGTATTTGCCGGTTCTCCAAACTACTCAAAATTTCCGCTACCGGTTTTCCAGAACCTGCTGGATTTCACCCCTCCTATACAGTAGCAGTAACAGAGTTGGAAGGGACCTTGGAGGTCATCTAGTCCAACCCCCTGCTCACGCAGGAGACCTATACTAGGGATTTGAACTGCTGAACTGCCGACCTTTCTGATCGACAAGCTCTATTTATAAGTAGTAAATTACCACAATGTACAGTACAATACTTACCTACTTAACTCCAGTTACACGGGAACATGCCCTCTCGAACTACAGTAATCCTCGATTTAACAATAGTTTGTATAGTGACTGTTTAAAGTTGCAACAGCACTGAAAATACTGGAATACACTCACAATTCCTTGAATATTCACTACGCATACTGGAGTTGTACAAATCTAAAAGAGATAAATACTATATCTGGTATATAAGGACTAATATTAATGTTGATGTAAAGTTGACAGGACTGAAAACAGATCTTTGATTGATTGATTGATTAAACTTTGAGCAGGGACTTCTAGTTGCTACAAAAGAAATATTGTATTTCCTACAATGGTGTTTTTTGGTGCTCTTATTTTCTTCCCAATATATGAAAAACATAAAAAATCAGTAATTTGTTAAAAGTTGCATACCTTATTCCATTTTTCAGGAAAAGAATGCTACTCTGTAAATCAACATTTCTTAATTGAGGCAATTTCTAAGTGTGTAGACTTCAAATCCCCAGCCAGCAGGCAATTCATAAGAATTCTAGCAGTCGAAGTCCATATACCTGGAAGTGGCCAAGTTGGAAAACACTGCTCTAATTTCTAGGTAAAGAGGGATATAATAACCCTAGATCATTCTTAATTGCATTGAAGAGAAAACTATTGATATTGATGTGATTACCTAAGATTTAAGTGATTAAAACATTTGTAAAGATGTTTCCATTGCTAATTCTTATTTTTCAAAATCGGTTTCTCTCCCTTTTCACTTCAGTCAAGAGATCGTAAAGTTCTTGGAGACCCTGAAGGTGCAGCTAGTCATGGCAGGACAGCCAAGTACCTGAATATTGCTGCATTGATGATAACCATCATAGTCTACATTATTTTCGTCATTATATTAGTCAGTAGTGCACTGCTCATCGTTAACATAGTCTTCGAAATAATGAAGCTTCCAGATGAAATAGAAGAATTCAGAGGGAACTAAACCATACATCCAAAATACTATTTTCAACGATGTATTCTATTTTAGCATTGGTTTAGCTTTCTTTTGCATGCCTTAAGCATATCAATTGACAGTTTGGTTACACTTTTGGGTATATAAAGATTATTCTCTGCACTACATCTGTATCCTATTTCCCTACCACAATTTATTGAAGTTATTTATTGAAAAGTAGATTATTTAACTGGGTTGATGTTATCTTTAACCCAAGAGCTAGATTTCTGTCTTCCTAATCCTAGGAATCATCCATTTTTGTTGCTGTTATATTTTATTTATTTGTTTATTTATTATATTTATCAAATTTATATTTTGCCCATTTTAAAGTGACATGGGCAGTCAACAAATAAAAAGTTACTATATTTTGATTTCTCAATGGAACATTCAGTTTTTTATGTATTTCAGTATGTTTTCAATATCATAGCTTTCTATATTTCAGTATGAAGTTGAGGTGAGTTCAAAACAAATAAAAAACACATCTTTATATTTTATGTAGATAAAGAGTTTTTGATGGCAAAAGTCAGCTGATAAAAACATTCATTCCCTAAATGTTCATTGTTGTTTTTGTTTCCTTCATTCCTCTGTCAGAAGGAAACTAGATATTGCAAAGTTACATATTCCATATCTGTACAGAGCTGCGCTAATTAATAGCTAGCTGTCAGGTGCAATTGAAGGTACTAGTTGGCACCTTTAAAGTCAGATTAATTCCACTGATTAATTGTTCTGTCAGGAATTTTCTCTTTAGTTCTAGGTTGGTTCTCTTTGATAAATAGCCACCTATTCTTGTCCGGCTCTCAGGTGCTTTGGAGAATAGGTTGACTCCCCCACCTTTCTGTGGCACCTCCTCAAATATTGGGAGACTGTCAAGTTATCCCTAGTCCTTCCCTTTGTCAGACTAGACATATCTATCAGGACAGCAGTATAAAGCAGTACTGACACTTCATGTGACCTTGATACCACCCCTCTATTGATGTATTGTAGGACTGCATTAGCTTTTTTTGGCAGCTGTGGCACAGTACTAGCTCATCCTTGAGTAATTGTCCACTAGATCCCTCTCACAGTTACTACTGTTGAGCCAAGTACTACCTATTCTATACCTATGCATTTGGTTTTTCTTTAAGTGTAAAATTTTACATTTCTCACCATTGAATTGCATTTTGTTGTGCTGAACCGTGTTCAAGTCTTTCAAGATCCTTCTCAATCTTAAGCCTATCTTCTAAAGGAAACTTCATGTTCCATGTGCCAGATACCATCCACATTCTCAATGTAATTATTAAGTGGCTGTATGGGTCATGAAAGGGAGAGACTGAGGAAAGCCATGGAAGCCTAGTGCAGGTCCAGGCCCACACTGCAGCACCTCCCCAGTTCACTCATGGCCTATTCTGGCCTTCCCAAGGCCGTGTCCACCTCAAGAGGTATCCCTTGTTCTGCTTCCCACACTTTGGGGTCCCTGCAGGCCTTGTGCCTGCTTTCCCACCCCATTTAGGTCTCACACCATGCAAATGCTGTGTGAATGCTGCCTTTATAATTATGATTTTTAGCTTCATGCAAGCGTACCCTAAAGAGAACGAGAGTTTAACCAAAGGGCTGATTAACTTTTCCCCAATTTGAAATATTATAATCTTATCCAAAACTCATCTTAAAGTGTACGTCCAGCATTTACTCATTCTGTAATAAGTATTTTAATAAATCTTGACTTTGGCTGACTCTTTTACTTACCGTGGTATATTGTGCTACCATTGCCCAAATCATGAAAAAATCATAATTTGCATGATGATGTGAGGCATATTATTGTTCCCAGGAGACACGTATATGCAATTAGGTGGGTTAAGTTTCATTTTAAGTAACAACTGTTCCTCCTCCATTTTTACCACCCATCATGTCTGCCGAGAAATCTGACTATGGAAGATTTTTAAGCCATTGTTATTGAACATATGCATGTAAGCTTTACTGGGCTTTGTAAACTAATTATGAAGTATTTGGAAACTAAAGTACCCTAGAGCCCTACTTGAGTAGACAAAGCAACTTCATCTTGAGAAGGGAGATAAAACTAATAAGCCACAAATGGGATGAAAGTTCCTTTTATTGATTTTTGTCCAACAAGTCTTAAAAAATTAAGGTGGGATGCTTAGCCATATTTTGGATGCTTTCTAAACTGCATTTTTTCCTGTTGGCCTTTCCAAGCCCTTAATGGTCACCGAAATCCCATCAGTATTCTTTCACAACATAGTTCCCTGTACTGTTGTAAATTGCTTTGAGATTGCTGTAGTGATGGCAACATACTTTTCAAAAATGAAACACCAATGTTTTGGGTGATACACCAGCATTCACCAACAACCTACAATAACACTTCTGTCTTGCTGAGTTACCAAAGAAATTGAATAAGCAAAAATACAAGAAATATGTGACATTGCACCACCCAGAGCTTAAACTGGATTCTTACCATTTGTATCAGCATGTGATCTGTCATCTTCAGAATTGTGATTGGTGGTAACATGAAAGAGCAATTTGCAAAATGCAATAGGAATATGGCATGTCTTCCAACCACTGCATGGGGTGGTTGTTTGCACAGTGAAGCTCATTTTCAAGGTGCAACAGTTTCCAAAATGAGTGCACTATCAACATCAGTCAGTTTTTGTGTTCATGTGAACAAGAAGTGTGTTGAATCTGAACAACTGCACTACAAAGAATGTCAATGAAATAACTTCCTTAAATTCTTAACAGGCCTATGAATTTAACATCAGCAAGTTTCAGCATTGCTCACTCCAAAGCTCAGCATGTAAAGACCCTCAGTGAAGAGAATTTATTAAAAACATCTTCTATAATGTGCATCCTTTTTATTTATTAAGCAGATTTCTGATTTACCAGTCAGCAGAAATTCCATTAAAGACAGAGTAATCACAATGATTTACAATGTACAACATCAATTGAAAGGAGACTTAAATAATTGTAAATATTTTTTCATTTGTCTTGAAACTAGTGATGTTACCTCATTTGTTCAATTGGCTGTCATTGCTAGATTTTCCAATGTTCTGACAAGGAAAGAATTGGTAAAACTAGGAACAGTGCCAATAAGTACATCAGGGAATCAAATATGCAACATCATTTTAAAAATGCTCCCTGACCTAAGAATTGATATGTCTAAAATTGTGTCGATGACAACAGATGAGGTAGAAAAGAAAATCAGATTTGTGAAACTCTTTATGGAAGCTATTGGATATCCAGTTGTGTTGGATCATTCCATCATCCATTAAGAGGTGTTTTATGTGCTGAGGCAGGATTTACAAAACTATATAATATAATGACAGTTGTCATAAAAATACTGAATTTAATAGCTGTTTGACCTCTTTATAAGGAATAATTTTCTGATCTATTGTAGGAAATTGAATCAACTTACAACTGTGATACAAAACAATGTGAGGTGGTTGAGCCAAGGAAAAGATCCCAGAGATTTATGGAATGCTATGAAAAAAATTAAGTTACATGTTGAGAATAAAAATGTGGAACAGTTTCCTCAGCTCAGTGATTGGGACAGCATACTGATATTTTTACAGACCTTTCAGTTCATATGAATGAGCTGAATTTAAACGTATGAGAATTTGGCAAAAGTATTAATGTTATGTTACATCAATATATATGTTACATAAAAGCCTTTAAAGTAAAGTTCAAATCTTCAAATGAGATATGTGGGCTAAACGTTTTGAATATTTTCCTTAACTAAAAAAAATGTTTCAAAGAGGTCAGCTCCAAAAACAAAATGGAGCCCTTGAACATAAAGTACCAGCACATTTTAAACTCAATAATTGATCAGTTGGGTAGACGATTGAATCAATTCTGAAGTTTAGAATAGACAATTAAAACAAGTATCCAGTTGCAATAACCTACATTACTATAGAATTAAATGTTTTTCAATGGCTACAAATTGAAGGATTAGAGCATCAGTTAGCAGAGTTCCAATTTACCATTTGACAAGTGTTGTCAATCTGAAGTCTCAATTTGAGGATCTAGAAACAAATTGTATGCAGAATGAAAAGTGCCATTACAAAAAAAATTGTGAAAATTGGAACTGAATAGTGGAAACTTTTAATACCCTTGAAAGTCTAGCAATTAACCCCCAAGTTAATAAAAGAAATTGAAAAAATTGGAAAAGTAGCAGGCCTAAAAATCAACAAAGAAAAAACAAATATGATAATAAAAAATATGACAACAAAACAAGTAGAGCAATTAGTAAATGGCTCACAATTACAGGCAGTTAAAAAAGTGAAATATCTAGGGATTCATTTGACGGCTAGAACAGCAACAATAAAACAGGACAATTATGAACCCTTAGTCCAGAAAATCAAAGAAGACTTAGATAAATGGGGGAAACTAAGGTTGTCTTTGCTGGGGAGGATAGCAGTGATAAAATCAAACATACTTCCAAGGCTCCTTTATTTATTCCAAACGATTCCAATAAAATTGGATAAGAAATTTTTTGACAATTTGGATAAAATAACTACAAAATTTGTGTGGGAGGGGAAAAAATCGAGAATAAAATTAAATATATTACAAGATGATAAAATTAGAGGCGGTTTCGGTTTTCCGGCATGGCAAAAATATTATAAGGCTGCCAGCTTACTATGGATCAAAGAATGGATAACTCTGGTTAATCAAAGACTGTTAAATTTGGAAGGACATGACCTAATGAAGGGATGGCATGCCTTTATTTGGAATCCCGGAAACAAGACATATAAACATTTTAACAATCACACCATTAGGAAATCCTTAATTAATACATGGCAACAAATTCAACGCAAACATTACATGAAAGTTCCCAGTTGGTTGTCGACAATAGAAGCAATCACCCACCCCAATATATTATCAAAACAAAAAATATTACGATACAGAGAAATATTAGATATAAAGGGTAAATTAAAAACTAGGGAAGAATTAAAAGAACAAGGAATAGCAATAGACTGGTGGCCCTACTTACAAATAAAAATAAGATACAGAAAAGATCAGGAGGAGGGGGGAATAGATTTGAAACAAAACAGATTGGATAAATTATTAAAATCTAAAGAAGGGAAATTAATTTCGAAAATTTATAAATACTTACTTGAATATGATTTGGCCGAAGAATTAGTTAAAGGGCAGATGATAGCGTGGGCGAGAAACATTGGGCACAGTATACAGCTAGAAGAATGGGAAAGAGTGTGGGAAACTAACTACAGCATGACAAAATCGGTAGCCTACAAAGAAAATCATTATAAGATGTGGTATCGATGGCATCTGGCCCCTGCAAGATTAGCGAAAATGTACCCAAATGTAAATCCGACCTGTTGGAAGTGCAGAAAAACACAGGGAACTTTTTACCATGCTTGGTGGCTCTGCCCGGTAATTAAGAAATATTGGAACAAGGTAAGGATATGGATAAGAGAAATAACAGATTATGAAATTGAATTAGAACCTGAGATTTTTCTATTAGGCATGATTAAAAAGAACATCCGAAATGACATAAAATATCTAATACTTCATATAATCACGGCGGCAAGATTAGCGCTAGCACAATTTTGGAAAAGCGATCAACTGCCAACTGACCAGGAACTAATACAAAAAATATATACATGTGCAGAAATGGACAAACTAACTTTAGAGTTACAGGATAAGGAGGACTCTAAATATTATGCAATATGGAATAGATGGTACCAATGGATAAACCAGAGGAAAGGAAATGGGTAGAGATGAATTTAGAAGAAATTAATATAACAAAAAACAGCACTGTCAGAGGGATAGAATATGAAATATCTTACTGTATGTTTGTATATCTGTACATATAATACATATAATATAGGTATATAGAATAATGGAAATCAGTCAATAGGTGAAGTTTATGCACTGTATATGTAAATTTGTTTCTTGATTGAGAGAAACTTGTATGTTTTAAATGTTTTTTTTAATAATAAAGTTTTGTTTTAAAATAAAAAAAAAAGTCTAGCAATGTCTTCACTCACACTTTTTTCTTCTACATACTTTTGTGAGACTTTTTCTTCTGCATTAAGCAGCATTAAGATCGGGTGGGTTCTAAAAATTTTTACTACCGTTCTGTGGCCGTGGTTTATTTTGTGGGCGTGGCTTGGGGAGGTAATGTGACTGGATGGGCGTGGCCAACTTTTTTTTAATTTTATTTTTAAAAGCATTTTTTCTACAACCTTAAGAGGTTACAGAAAACAATGCTTTTAGAAGCTTCTGACAATCAGGCAAATCTGCTGGGATTGCCAAAAGCTTTTAAAGGGATTTTTTTTCCCCTACAGCCTCCTCAGCTGAGGAGGTTGCAGGAAAACATACTTTTAGAAACTTCTGATGATCAGGCAAATCTGCTGGGATCACCAGAGGTTTTAAAGGGGATTTTTTCCCCTACAACCTCTTCAAAAAATCCCTTTAAAAACCTCTGACGATCCAAGCTGAGTTGGCTGATTGTCAGAAGCTTCTAAAAGCATTTTTTTCTGCAACCTCTTCAAGCTTCTGCCTTTTCAAGGCAAAAAAGGGTGGGAGGGGAAACACACATGTGGCAGTGAGATATTCCACAGCTCAAACCTCCTCCCACCGGAAACCTGGGAAGGTTTCCCGTCTCTAAACAAACAACTCCTGGAAATGGGAGAAACAGTGGCAGGGGCAGGAGTCTTGCCCAGTGAGGAAAGGGATTGGATTTCGGAGGAAACGCAGCTCGGTTTAAGGTTAAGGCAGGGCAGAGGGGCTGAGATAGCGATGGGGGGGGGCAGCCTTTCCAACAAGCAAAGTCAATGGGGGGGGAGCCAGATTCACATGTGAATCATACTTCCCTGCCTAGCCTAACACAACACACACATACATATCCAAGAAACCCAACCCTGACAGAGTCAAGACAGGCAGGGAAGCCAGCAGCACAAACGTTTGGGCAACCGGTCCTTTTTTTGGGAGGGAGGATCTTTGCAAAGAAAAAGAATGCAGATAAGGCAGGTTTAAAGACCCCTCCGCTGCAAAGCCAGGGGCATCCCCTGGAAGTCCCAGTCATCGGAGATCCTGCCCCCCCACCACCCCAAACAAAGGTCCAATTTGGCCTTCAGTTTGAATTGCTCCAAGTACCTACCTTCAATTTCATACTTATAAAAACTCAGCAATGAAACTCTTTAAACAAGTCTAATGCATTGTGTTGCTTATTTTTTGTTAATTCAATTCAAAATTACTGTTAAAAGTAGGGTAAATTTTGGTGCCGTATTTTAAACCCAATTATCAATATGCATATTAGTTTTCTCTATTGTAAGTCACTGATTTTTCTTTTACATTTCCCTGAAAATAAGACCCTGTCTTAATATTTTTTTGAACCCTGAAATAAGTGCTTGGCCCAATTGGGCTTATTATCAGGGGATGTCTTATTTTGGGGGAAACGGGGTAGTTTTTCTCAGTTTACTTTTGCACAATTGGTTTTCCTGCTGTGATTAATATGCTTCATAAAACTGTTTTAACAATGAAACTGTTATGAGTTTTTTTCATTTTTAATTTACATGTCTGAGCTTGTTTTACTCATATTCCATTATTTAATTATTTCAAATTTCTTTATATTATACCCAGCACCACACACGATTGGACTATATTTTTTTGAAAAATATATTACGTAAAGAGTTGTTTTGCTCTTGTTGGGGGGGGGGAGGGGCTGACAAGCCAGCAGTCAATTTAGGCGTTTTCCGAACGTTGGACACGAGCCCAAAAGATTCCTTCCCCACGACTGCAAACAAACGTTGGGAGTACTCGCATCTTCTCTCAACCTGCTCCTGACGGAAAAGGGTTTCCCAATATTTGTCCGCGGCCCCGCCCACCGGAGCACATGGTTTGAGGCAGCCCGGAGCTCTAATATTAGGCAAGCATCACAAAAGGCCATTTTGGGCTGCCGCGGGATAAGAAATATCAGCTCTTAAGCAAGTGTGAGGCCAGCGCTGTTTCGAAACTCACGCAGCTCCCAAGCTATTGGCTGAAAGCCAGCGTCAATTCTCCTGCCTGGGAAGCCTGTTCCGGGCTTGAGTCGCTCGGTTTCGTTTTTCCTGATACCTAGCTACCGTAGGTTTAGTTTTCTCCTGCGGACCCCACCTCCCTCAAGTAGCCCCGTCCTCTCCTTTCCTTGAGTTTGGCGGCGCAGCCCCGCCCGCTCTGGTCGTGGGACGCTCCGCAGAGTTTGCGGCTCTCGGGCAGCTATGTCGTCCGACGCCGTTTGCCTCGACCTGCAGCCCAGCTCCTACGACGGCGCCGACAACAACGAGGAGGAGGGCTCCGCCGGCCTCAAGCCTACCTCGAGGAGACTCGCCGGGGAGCAGCCCAGTGACTATCTCCTCTGGTCGTTGTTCAACCTTTTATTCTTAAGCAGCTACTGCTTCTGCTGTCTCAGCTTCAGCGCCCTCGTCTTCTCCATCAAGGTGAGCGAGCCCAGAAGGGACCGAGAAGGTTAAGTTAGGCGCCGGAGCTTCTTTCCCGTAGAAATTTTGCAGTTTCGATTTCATCGGAATTCCCCCCCCCCCCGGCGTCACTTTTCTTTTTGTGTCTTCTTTTTTTTTTTTTTTTTGAACTCTCTTTCTTTGCTTCGTTCAGTATTTCAGGGTTCGCTTACTTTTCTGGGTTTTGGCTCCCTCCCGCGCTGCAATCCGCGGGTCTTTTACGCCCCCATCAAAACATCCATTAAGTGGAAATTCCAGGCTCCATTTCCTTCTTCCCTGCGCTGCCGGCTGGATTTTTCTCTACAGAATTGCAGAAGTGTGACTTTCCGTGGAAAAGCTGCCAAGTCTTGCTTAACGCTATGGCCATCCTCCCGGCTCATTTAAGAAAACTTAATTCTCCCGAACGCTGACACAATTTAGGGATCTAGGGGTTGGTATTTTTTTTTTTATAGCATAGGGTTTTTTTGTAGGTGTTATGAGGAGAAAAAGGATGGGTTTTGGGTTTTTTTCAATTTTGACATTTGTTTCTAAAATGTTTGCTTTCTCTCTAGCTAGCTTTGTGTGTGACAAGCAAGGATATGTGAAGAAACCAGCTTTGACTTTGAAGTTCATATGGTGGGGAGAATTGTCCCACCAGATTTTGGTCTTGGAATGAGGTCCTTCTTAAAAGAAAGGCATTGTGCTTTTGGAAGAGCAGTCTTCCAAAATGTTTCTGGTCTTCTCAAATTCTCTAAGAAAAAACTGATCCCAATCTGTTGCTATCACTTGTTTTCAAAAGAGTGGGTTATTTACGGATGATATTAATACACTGCACTCTCAACACTTTGCATCCATCCGTACAATTCAGAGTTATAAAATTTTAACACCAAACAGAATATAGTCTTTGCATGGAAATGGAATAAAAAAGAAGCAAAAATAAAATGGACAAATACTGTTTTAGATCTGTTTCCAAGTGTAACACCCCCCAAGGCTAAAATATGAACAAAGTTATGAAAGACAGGAACTTTGCTATTTGATTGAACGTAGCATTAATTTTCACAGCAGGTCGTATGTAGATAATTTGAGGTTTATAACTGGAATAAATATGCCTTAAGGTTTAATTTTCTTTTCATTTTATTCTTTTCAGGCAAGGGATCGTAAAGTTATTGGAGATCCTGAAAGCGCAGCTACTTATGGGAAGAAAGCCAAATACCTGAACGTTGCTGCCTGCCTTATAGGCTTTGGAATCACTGTTACTTGTTTCCTTGCAATGATTTTAAGTGCAGGAGATATTCTTAAATTGTTCAGAGAAATAAGGGAGAACCCCAAATTATTACAGCCAGGTCAATGAAGAACAAGTAATTCACCCAGGATATCATTACCAAACATACTGCCTACTGGCTGCATCACTTTTCTGTCTCATGTATATTTTCCCTTGTCAAAAGGAGGATTCTGTGCAGTTTAATACAACTTGCCATACTGACAGTGGGAGAGATTTAGATTGTCTCTAGAATAGTTTTTCAACTGAATTCTGCAGAACTCCAGACTTCCATGACAACTTGACAGAGTTCACGAGAGATTTAAGACCAAGCAAACAAAATTAAATTCAGTACAGCCAGTGTTATTCAAAGCAATTTTTCTAAGGAAAAGCAATCACATCCCAGTAACTAAACATTGATTTCTATGGTTAAAACATTAAATTCCCAAGTAATTGTGTGAGTTTTTGTGCACTAGAAATGTTAATTTTGCATTTATAATACTTTAATTTTTATACTTAGGATAAATGGAGGAATCGTGGGATTATGATTGAGATATCAGTTATTTTGAAATTCAAATATATCAATAAATGACAAAAAACAAAAATTACTTTGACGGTTTTCTGTTATTACAGTAGAGCTTTGCCTCTTGATCAGGTTTTAGGAATTTCTTTAAAGGAGTTGTGGCAAAATAGAGTCTTTTGTGAGTTTATAATGCACTCCATCTTATATTCTATACAGTTATTTGAATTTATTTCTGAATTTATTTCTGTCGTCTTTCTCTAATATGAGACCGGCCACAATGGACTTAATCGTTGTAATCTCCTTTTATATATTCTTTATTGCATGTATCTTCCCTGAATTGTGAATGGCTTTGATTTAGCAACTTCAAGTGTTCATAACTGATTTCCTCAGTTTGAAATGAGGTGACAACCAAACTTAGAACTGGCATGGTTGGGTCCATCCCACTGGCATTGGCCCACTCCACCCTTGCTGGCAGAGGAAGCATGCTATGGATCCTATTGGCCAGGTTATTCTGGTTGGTGGGTTCCAGGAAAAGGGCCTTCTCTGATGTTGCACCTGCCCTCTGGAACATCTTGCCCCTCCGTGAGTGAGGTTGGCTCCAACCCTCGTGAGCTTCCATAAGAGCCTAAAGACCAGGTTCTGCCAGCTAGCTTAGGACTCCAATAGAGGGGTTTCATATGGGGATGGCTGATAGATTATCAACAGATTCCCCCCCCCATTCAACTCGCTCCCCATCTTTTAATTGGAGCTCAGTATTTGAATCTCGGCAGTATTTTATTTATGTCTTTTAGGTTTTGTATAGTTTTTATCTTTTTAAGATTATAAGCCATCCAGAGTTACCCTGTGATAAGATGGGAGTCCAATAAAGTTTACAAATAAATAAATATAATGGATTAAAACAAATGGGAATTAGAATGGCGCCTGTTGTGCTTATTTAACAAGTTCCTATAGCTGCCTATCTACCAACACCCTATGAACAAGAATTACTTTTTTTTTTAAAAAAAAGCATGTTTACAAATCATTAATGCCCCTAACAAAATGCCCCTGACAAAAACTCAGCATTAATCTCTCATAATCCCCGCCTTCCTTTCCCTCCACCCCCGTTAAAATTTTGGCACCAGTGCCTGTGGTAATCTGGAAGCCAATAGGGTAAGGCTGTCCATATTTCAATGTTCCTGTTCCACAAGACAGGTACCATGCTAGAGGAAGCACTTTTCCTAGGGCCAACGAGGTGACCTTGCATCACCTATGAGACCCAGAGCATGCCCACTCTGCCTGATTTGGTGGAATGAGCAGAAACTATTAGGAAGAGGCACAGCAGTCCTGCAAGTATTGATTCCATGCCAAGCACAACAAAGAATGTTCTTTCTGCGTCAACTCAGGAAGCTCAAACTCCCCAAGGAGCTGCTGATACAGTTCTACAGAGGAATTATTGAGTCTGTCATCTGCACCTCTATAACTGTCTGGTTTGGTTCTACAACCCAACAAGACAGACACAGACTTCAGAGGATAATTAGAACTGCAGAAAACAATTGCTACCAACCTGCCTTCCATTGAGGACCTGTATACTGCACGAGTCAAAAAGAGGGCTGTGAAAATATTTACAGATCCCTCACATCCTGGACATAAATTGTTTCAACTCCTACCCTCAAAACGATGCTATAAAGCACTGCACACCAGAACAACTAGACACAAGGACAGTTTTTTCCCGAACGCCATCACTCTGCTAAACAAATAATTCCCTCAACACTGTCAAACTATTCACTAAGGCTGCATTACTATTACTATTAATCTTATTGTTCCTATCACCCATCTCATCCCACTTATGACTTTAACTTGTTGCTTGTATCCTTACGGTTTATATTGATTGGTTCCTACTATCATTTGATTGCTTATTTGTACCCTATGACTATCATTAAGTGTTGTACCTTATGATTCTTGACGAATGTATCTTTTCCTTTTATGTACACTGAGAGCATATGCACCAAAGACAAATTCCTTGTGTGTCCAATCACACTTGGCCAATAAAGAATTCTTTCTTTCTTTCTTTCTTTCTTTCTTTCTTTCTTTCTTTCTTTCTTTCTTTCTTTCTTTCTCGTTTTTCTTTCTTTCTCTTTCTCTTTCTCTTTCTCTTTCTCTTTCTCTTTCTCTTTCTTTTTCTCTTCCTACCTACCTACCTACCTACCTACCTACCTACGTCAGGCTTTAAAGATGACAACAAACATCTTGACTTGCATGCAGACTCCTATTGGGAGCTAGTGCAGCTGGCATAACAGATCATCCACAAGTACAGTCAGTTAATCTCAGTACCATATCCTAGCCTGACTCCAATGAGCTGTTTCCAGAACCCTTCGGAGCTGCAAGCCCACCCCAAGAAGTGTTGGAGGTTGGATGAAAATTGTCCCATACTTCAGTTTAATGGGGAAAAAATGGTTTGGATTTTTGGATTGCAATCCTTCTAATTTATTCCTCAAGGCTGAGTTTTGCTGTTTCATAGGTTCTATAGCTTGGAAAGGGCTTTATAGCCTCTTTAAAAAAAAAAAAAGCATGTAAGAAAAATTGGGCATTAGATGGGAATAATGTTCTCAGTGTATTAACACTTCAGGAAGCTACAGTTCCTATTCCTTTCATTTACTAGTATACGCCTGCCCTCAAGTGGTCATCTTCGGCAACAAAGATGAGCTAAAGGAAGTCCTATACAGTAAGTGTCCATACAGTGTAATACTTTCCTGTATTACTCAATTCATGATTGCTTCCTTCTTGAACTAACTTCTTGGAATACATAGGCCAATAATACCCATTCACTGTGGAAACCAAACCTTTTCTTTTTGAGGTTATTGCCTTTGGTGGGGAGGGGAGCATTTATTTAGAAGGTTTACTGCCTACTCACTCTCTGAATCTGGGAGGCTTACAAATAATTTAAAAATCCAATAAAGAATAAACTTGCAAGTATGAATGTGCTGTATCTTTTCCCTCTTATACTCCTGTTCATTAGGAAAGGCGCCTGCCTGAGTCTCTCCCAAATATTTTCTATTGGTTGTGGACTTAAGATCCTTTATTTTACTCCTGGTCACTTTGATAAAAGAGCTGCCATATCTCTGTCACAATCTTCTTCCTTGTGCTTTACATCGGCATGGTTTCAGAGGTTCTGGACATGTGAAACAATGGGATGCAGAGCAAATCTCCAACAGCAAAACTCGGGATAAGTCCTGGACTGAAGCAAAAAATAGAGAGAAAAATAATACAATTTAAGTGATTGTCCAGATTTTATACAGGTGAGGTCTGGTAGCCTTGCCAGGCTGGCTCCAGATGGTTAAAAAAATCAAGAAGGTGGCCATAACCATTTTACTAACTCTTGTCTGCACCCAAAGCCTCACTTTGCAATTCAGAATTTGGATTCCCTCCATTCCACTCCAATATTTAAAAGTTTATATTTCCTTTTTTCCTGGCTGACTGCAAATAAAAAAAGTTAAAAATTGCATAGGATGGGAAATAGTGGGAGGACTGTCCAGGCTGTCCAGGGGAGAGATTCCTGATTTGGCAATCCTCAAAATCTCTCCCTTTCTGCCAGCTCCATGTCTTGTAAATTACACTTATATTATTATACATTGAATAGCATTTACAGCTCTTAACACACAAGCTTAAAAGATTCTTGAGAAATCAAGTACCTACTCTTAATCCTCTTAACAACTTTTTAAACTCTGAAGTGCTAAAGAAAAACTTCAGCAAACAGCAAGTTCGAACAGGTCTTTGCAGCAAAGAATTCCATGAGTCCCACCAGCAATATACAAGAACACAAAGAAGCTAAAACGATAGAATCTGGGCTAGAAAGGAGGTCTTCTAGCCGAACCCCCATGCAGGCAGGAATCCTCAGACCTGTAATGGCGAACCTATGGCACAGCGCCCTCTCTGTGGGCACGCGGGATTTTGCCCCAGTTCAGCTTTGCCATGCACGCGCGCATGCCTCCCACTGGCCAGCTGGTTATTGGGTCTCTGCTGCGCATGTGCAGGGGATAGGGCATGTGTGGGGGGCGTGTGCACATGTGCAGGGGGCCTGTGGGGGGCTGTGCACGCTTGCATGGGATGTGTGCATGGGGACGTGTGCACAGGCAGGGCACATGCGCAGGGACCATGCACACATTGCATTTTGGGGGGTTGGATGCGTGTGTGCATTTGTGCACACTTTGGGCACTCGGGCCAGAAAAGGTTAGCTGTCACTGCCTCAGACCATCCAAGGACCTTCCAATCTTTGCTCCAAAGCTCCAGTGATAGAGCCTCCATGACTCCCAAAAGGGAGGCTGTTCCTCTGCTTAATAGTCTTCATGGTCAGAAAATTCCTCATTTTGAGTTTGGATCTTCCTCTGTAAAGCTTCCACCCATTGGTTCTTGTCCTTTCCTTGAGCGCTAGGGAGAATAAATCTGTACCCCATTTCTCTGACAGCCCTTCAGGTATTGGAAGACTGTTCTTATGACTCCCTTTGGCCTTCGTTTCTTTAAGCTAAACTTACCCAGTTCCTTTAACTGTTCATAGAATTTAGCCTCCAAGCCCTTCACTATCTTTGTGGCTCTTCTCGGCACTCTTTCCAGTGCCTCAAATCCTTTTTGTACTGTGGCAACCAGATATGGATATGGTATGTGGAGATCTGATTAGTGCAGTATGAAGGGGAGGTATCAGTGGTGGGTTGCTACCGGTTCACCCCGGATTGGTCGAACCGGTAGCGGCGATAGTGGGAGGCTCAGCCCACCTGCGCCGGATTCTTCTGCACATGCGCAGAAGCGTCACGTGAGTGCGCGCATGCCCACGAGCAAATCGGTAGCGACAGGTTTTGAAACCTGCCCCTCGGAGGTATCCATACACTCAAGGGCCTAAGAGAATAAAACACCGGTTGGCTCTTTTTACAAAATAGAAGAGCAAGGTTAGGACTGAGGGATTATCCTCATATATCATGTGTTTAATTAAATCACATACCCACAATTGCTAATACTTCCATTACAACAGTTACACTTCAGAGGTGGGTTTCAGCAGGTTCTGACCAGTTCCGGAGAACCGTTAGCGGAAATTTTGAGTAGTTCGGAGAACCAGTAGTAAAAATTCTGACTGGCCCTGCCCCAGTGGTGGGCTGCCCCTGGTTCGCACTGGTTGTATAGAACCAGTAGTAAAACCGGCAGGAGGCCCCGCCCACTGCCCCCGAGGTCATCAAAATGCTTCTGTGCATGCACACTGGTAGTAAAGGTAAGTAGAACCCTCCCCTGCCCTGCCCCCATCTATTCTCTGCCTCCCAAGTCCCAGCTGATTGGGAGGAAATGGGAATTTTGCAGTAACCTTCCCCTGGAATGGGGTGGGAATGGAGATTTTACAGTATCCTTCCCCTGCCACGCCTACCAAGCCACACCCACCAAGCCATGCCACGCCCACCAAGCCACACCCACAGAACCAGTAGTAAAAAAAATTGAAACCCACTGTTACACTTGTCTTTGCTATTTTCCAATACTAATTATGTGTCTCCTTTCCAATTTTATGTGATTTATCCACTGACATTTTTTCTGCTTTAAGTTTAAATCTTTATTTTTTCCAGGCAACTTGTTCATTTTTCAAGGGTGATTAATAACCAGCACCAGATATGCAAGATCTATACAGCAAAGATTCCATTAAAGTATCTTCTTTAAGACATGTCAAACAAAAGCATCTATTATAAAAAGATGAACCATTGCTATGTTGCTCAATACAGTGCATACTAAGAAAAAGCGGGGGGGGGGAGCTTGCATCATGAAGACATGTCCTCCATCTTTCCTTTTTTGGCATCTCCCATGTACACTACTGCTTTCTTTTTCTGAATTTAAAAAGGCTTGCTTTTGAGATTCCCCCATGATTCCAATTTAAGGCTAGCTTGAAGTATATATTCTCCCTTGAACAAACAAACTATAGCTAAGAGAGCTGGGGGTTAGTCAGAGGGAAGGATAGGCCAATGTTTCCTCATCAGGAAGGAAGACCACCATTTTTGTACTTGGCCATTCTTCTTTGTAGGAAAGTTAAAAGCTAACTGGCTTCTCACCTTGGTCCCCTTTTCATGGGAAAATCCAGAGATAAACCCTAAAGCCAGTGCATAGTCCTGGAAAAGAAGTTGGGCTCTGGGAATGGCATTCCCATTGGAACCAGGAAATGAGCAATGTCTGGTTTGGCCTTCCTGGTCTTGCTACATTATACAATCTACATTCAATAGGGCACTTCTACAGAACATGATATCCATTCCCCAATCCCTCCAAGGCAATTTATAGTGGATCTGCAATCTTCAAAATACAGAGACTGGAATGAGCAAATGGAGGTTCTCTCTCAGTGACCAGAAAGAGTTTGCTAAAACATAGTTCCTTTACTACCCGATTCACTGCTAATCTTAAACAACAAGATTTGCCCTCTCTGAAAGAAAAAAAATAAACTGCTAATTCCATTCATGTTCCCAATACTTATTTGTCTGATCATGTTCAAAATAAATAAAGTGTCATTTGGAGCAGTAAAATTATCCAGTTACCAAGATATTCTTTCTATATTAACAATCCCATTGGATCTGTGAAAGTGACATGAAGACTTGCCCTGTGCTTCTAACCATAAATAGAGCAAGAATCTTTTAACAAAATGCATACATTTAGACTGCAGAAACTGGAAGCCAATGTAAGAGTGTTGACTTTATGTCACTGTTTCAACTTTACTAACCAAAATCACTTCACTTCCCATTCAACACACAAGGGAAATAAAAGGTAAAGGAATCCTAAGTAGCCTGTATTTTGCATGTCACTTTGTCCACAGCTAAAAAGAGAGGAGAAATAATCAGATTTCTTTCAGCCTGCTTCTCTCCTGGGTTACTCAGTGGGAAATGCAAGGCTGGCAAGTCAGATTTCCTCTTAAAGGACCTATGCAGGTGCTGAAATTCAAAAGCCAGGAAGAGGAATGAGGCACGACTTTCTTCCATCCAATGGGAAAACAGGTTGCTTGCAAGCTCTCTGGAATTTATTTCAGCCCATTCCATCAGCTGGGCAGGGTTAACATGCTCTGGATCTCAACAATTAAGCAACATCATCTTATATGAGCCAGGAGTTGTGCCTTTCCTGTCACTGCACCTACCCTATGGAATAGTCTTCTTCCCTGTGTCCTGAGATATGGCTCCAACTTGCTAGCATTTAGGGAGACATATAGGCCTACCTCTTTTTGCAGTTTCTGGGATAGAATATGGGGCTGCTTTTAAGATTATGTGAACAACTTTAGGAATCAATTGAAATCACTTAGTATGTGTGAAGGTGTGCAATTTTGTCCCACAGGTGCTTTTTTTTCAGGAGGCAACTGGTCTTTCTTGTTTTTTCTTTTGAAGATGTTTCGCTTCTCATCCAAGAAGCTTCTTCAGCTTTGACACGATAGTGGGGAATGGAAGGATTTATATTTCTTGCAGACAGCTGGTCATTTGCATCCTACTATACAATTTGGGATGAATGCCCTTTGAATGGTGTGGGAGTAGGAATGGATTTCCAGAGAAAAATGGCAGACTACAGGAACCAGGACCACTCCTCAGATGACCCTGAGGACACAGATAAACCTCCAAGTGCTTCAACGACCCTCTAAAAGGATGCAAATGTCCAGCTGTCTGCAAGGAATATAAACTCTTCCATTCCCCACTATCCTGTCAGAGCTGAATAAGCTTCTTGGATGAGAAGCGAAACATCTTCAAAAGAAAAAAACAAGAAAGTCCAGTTGCCTCCTTGAAAAAAAGTACCTTTGGGACAACCATGACCTGGATAACTGAGGATCTCTACAGGCGTGTGCAATTTTGGTTTTACTGCAACAGAGCTGTCAGGTCAGTTGCCAATCTTAGGTAAACATTACCTAAGGTTCACAGAAGTCTGGGGCCACTTCTGCAGAGTGTTTGTGGGCAAAACTCTAAACCCCAGGAAATAAACAATGGGGCAAGAGAAGACACAATGGTTGTGGAAGAACAAGAAGAGGCAATGAAAAGGACTGCAAGATCCCTTTTGCTGTATGCTGGCTCTGTCATTCACAGAAAGACCCTGAAGTGAGAAGGTGGCACTGTGAAACCTTTCCATCTTTTGCCTTTGTGCCACGTGCCTGAATTACTCTCCATTGTGGAGAGTAGTGCAATAACAACCGCAGTGATATATAAAAAAGCATTCCTTGCCCAAGTGAGAGAGGGCAGGCATGAAAACCAAATATTTCTTTTAGCCCTAGCAAGGCATTTTTGATAACCACAGTCAAACTAGAGCTGTAATTTCTTTGCTATATAAATAGACGGAGATGAAAATGTGCCTTCGCCAGGAACTATATAAAGGGCTTCCCTGGTCTGGCTCCCTCACAGACTAATCTTACTGGGAAACTGCGTTTCCTCTTTCTTTCTCTGCACTTTTGCAAAACCTGCTTGCCCATGACATCCCACGAGAAGGAACCTTCTCCCACTATAATCACTGTCAGGCCTCCTGTGGTACCCCAGGACTATTTGATATGGTCAGTCTTCAACACCCTCTATATGAATATTTGCTGCCTGGGCTTTGTAGCTTTTGCATATTCTGTCAAGGTAGGAGATCTTTTTTATATTATTATATATTGAGAGTTGCATTGGGGTTTGACTGTTTAGCTGGGATGGTCCCTGGGGAGCTAACATTTCCCAAATGTTAGCTGTGATGTTGTGCTATGGAACCTTTGTAGCTTCTGTGAAACATCTGAGTTTCATAGAGCTCCATCATGTATTTAGTTGCTCATTAAATTGTTTAATTGTAAGGGTCTAGAATCTACCAACTCTTTTAGTTTACACCAGCCAGGCAGAAACACAAAAGATAGGGGGTCCCTCAAGTAACCTGGCCTAATGACATGTAAGGCTTTATATGTGATAACCAGCACTTTGAATCACACTTGGAAGCAAACTGACACCCAGTTCAGCTCACAATCATGGGGGTATATTGAGGTATGACTATCAGTGCCTGCACCATTGCCCTCAAGGCCAGTTGAAACTTCTAAGAGTTAAGGGCAGCACCATGTAGAGCGTGTTGCAATAGTCAAAGCATTAAGTGACTGGCATGTGTGAATGGTAGGTAGACATTCCAAAAGAGTATTAGTGTTTGCTGTAGATTGATCTGAAAGATGGGAGAAACTACATATTTATGTGACAGACTACTAAAGGCATTAGAGGAAAATAAGGAGAGGAGGTAGAATAAAGAGACAGAGAAACATGTTTATGTGGGAAAAACTAGGCTACAATGAGATCAATCCTTATTTATGTTAGTTATTTTGAGAGGTGTTCTTTGCAATGAATCTGGTTTAGTCTCATTTACTGAAAAGGATTACATGATAGCACGAGCAAGAATCAGCAGAGAATTTGTGAGACAACCTTTACATCAGTATCTTTGTCATCTGATGATGAATAAATGGTGCATTTGTTGATTATGTTTAAAAGGCTGCACTCTGTGCTTTGTGAAAATGTGAGATTACAAACAACATAGGATGATAGCAGAGGTAGTGATATACAAGCAATTGGAACCAGTCAAAACACAGATGGGGAAAAAAACCCTCTAGGAACTGTTTAGAGTGTGTGGGCAAATTCTAGAGAACAATTACTATTTCATGTGGTTTTCCTTAGAAGGAAGACATGCCATGTTCCTATTCTGGTTAAAAGTAAAGAATGTTTAACTGCTGGTCTACCAAGATTAAGGACATGAATTGATTTCTCCTGCTGCCTCTTTGGGATTTCTGCATTAGATTAGCCTTCCACAAGTTAGATGGCATTGAACTGAGATATATGAAATGTAGCAACATGTCACTAAGAAGAATTATTAACATATGGATTCTTTTCCCCCCCAGTATTCTTCCCCTTAACTGTGCCATTTGTACTTTGGAAGACAGGGGAAGAGCATAAACATTAAACACAACAGCAAAGTGGTTGATATAAACTATATGTATTAAAAAATATGTTCTCAAATATTATATTTTTTCCACCCTTGAAGGCTCGGGATCAGAAGGTGACTGGGGATCTGGAAGCTGCTCATCGCTATAGTTCCAAAGCCAAATGCTACAACATCCTTGCCACAATGTGGAGTGTGGTGCTGCCATTGGTGCTCATTGCTTTGGTGATTACGGGTGTCCTTCACCTTTCAAAGCTGGCTCAGGAGTCCGTGGACTATTTGGCTTACAGACTTTTCCCAGAGGATGTTGAGGACAAAAAGTGAGGGGGGGAAACAAGAGTTGGGTATAACTCAAGCACTGCACAATACAAAACCTCTACCTGCTTCTGATCTGGATCTTCTGGTTCATTACAGTAAAGCATTAAACAAGCCTAGGACTCCTTTCTCAGAAAGTCCTGCAGATGTTCATCCTTGGTGTCTTTCATAAACTCTGAATTGTTCTGCCTCTACCCTGTCTCACACTTCTCTTTTTTGAGGCTCTTTTCTTCCTAGCTTTCTGTACATTCTGCTGTATCTGCACATATTTTGAGTAAGCAGACTTGCAGAATTCAAAGAAAGCAGGTAGAAAAGGTAGCCTAATAAAAAATAATTATTATAATGCTTCTGGAAACTGATTTGTATTTACAAAAATAGCCTTGTTTCTTTCAAATTACTTGCTAGTATGTTTCTATCTATAGGCTTACTATCAAGATATATTAGCTAAAACAGATTTTTTAAAAAGTTCATCTAATTTTTTTGGTACCATTTATGTATTATTGACGGTGAGATCCCAGGACAAGCGATCTGGAAATGAATAGTTAATGGAGTTTGATCAATCTGGCATATGCAGAAAACCAATGGGAGGGTTTATTTTGTTCTTGTTTTTTTTTTTTTTTTTAACAAAGGTGTAACTTAAACTCAATAATAAAATTTCTCAACCAAGAGTAGATCCCAAATGAACTTGGTGGTATTTTCTTCTTAATAGCATTTTAAAACATCGCACAGTTAATCTATACGCCAGAAAACTAAGTAATAAAATGTTTTACCATGCATTGATAGAATAGGTGGAGAGTCTCTTACAAAAGTCTTTCCCAATTTACTATAATATTTGCTAAGTGAGGCTGAGGCAAGTCAGAAATATCTAAAAGGCATTAGCCTAGTTGGTTGCCAGAGAAAGAACATTTGTCAGCTCGGCTTTTTTAGTTAATATAGACTACAAGGTCAGCCACCATTGAATAGTTCTAAGGGTTTGGTATTGGTGGTGGGGGGCTCTCTTAGATGTTAGATTACTTAGGAGCAAGCCCTCAAATCTTCCTTAGAGCCCTATTTGGTTCCTTACCTGTTGTTGATGTCAATTTCTCTTTATATAAATAGTCCTTGATTTACAACCATTTGTTTAGTGACTGTTTGAAGTTATAATGGCACTGAAAAAAGTGACTTATGACAATTTTTCACATTTATGACCATTGTCATGTGATCAAAATTTGGACACTTGGCAACCAGTTCATATTTATAATGGTTGCAGTGTCCCGGGGTCACGTGATCACCTTTTGCGACCTTCTGACAAGCAAATTCAACGGGGAAGCCAGATTTACTTTGCAACTGTGTTAGTTAACAACTGCAGTTATTCACTTAACAACTGTGGCAAGAAAGGCCATAAAATCTTGCTTACAACTGTTTTGCTTACCAACAGAAATTTTGGGCTCAATTGTGGTCGTATGTCGAGGACTACCTGTGGTTGCTATTTAAGTACAGAACTGAGACAACACACTAGTCTTCTGTGCATTTCAGTGTTAATATAAGTAATTATTTTAATCTTGGTCATTTTTCAGCCTATGATTTATTCTAACCCAAATAAAAGAGAGAGGGAGGGAGGGAGGGAGGGAGAGAGAGAGAGAGAGAGAGAGAGAGAGAGAGAGGGAGAAAACTTGGATCACCTCTGTCTAAAAGTCCAGTGGACATGACAGCCCTGCTTAAAATCTGTAAGCCTTGAAGGCTCCAACTGTAATATACACTTGAAGGTATAAAATTGTACAGAATAGTGTGTGAAGCAGAAGTGTTAGGGATATCTGCTGGCAGTGCTGTCCAAAAAAAGTGAAGCTGACACATAATTGTTCAAAAATAGTGACGCTGACACATAAAAAAGAACACGGCTTTGATTATGTGGTAGTGGCAGCCATCTTGCCTCTTTGACACTCTTTATTCTTTCCCTTGGAGATGCCCTTGAGAAGAACTATTGTTACCAAGTAGAAAAGAAAATCCTTGACTGTTTAGAACAGGGGTCCCCAACCTCTGGGCTGCGGCCCCACGGCCCACTACCGGGCTGTGGCCCATTTGCAACCAGGCCGCGTGAGCGGTGGACTGGCACACATGCATGCATGCGTGTGCACACTGGCTCGCTTCTTGCATGAGTTGTGCTGTGTGCATAAGTGCTGGCCTGCAGCTCACATGGCCTGGTTCTCCTCTACCTTCCCAGCCAGGCCGCCAAGCCACAAAGGTTGGGGACCGCTGGTTTAGAGTAAAAGTGGTTACTTCCATGTGTGCTTGTGGCTGCAATCTCAGAGTCTTTCAAAACTAGCTATAGGAGAGATAATAGAATCTACTGCAAATGTAATTTGGACTCAAAATCTATTTTTTCTAAATATTCATGACTTAAATGGGCCTGTAGCTTTGACTAAATAACTTCCTTAACATACAATAAAGGCAATTTTAGGCAAATCAATCAATCATTTGTATTATACTTTTCTTTACATTATCAATGTGATGTGCTGCAATGTTGAAGCTGGATCAGGATACATCATACTAATCTCTGCTTAATAAAATGCATTAACGATGCACCTATTCCAGATCCAGATGGAGCAATTTGAATATTTGTAGTGATCCACCAGCTGGAGACTGCTGCTGTATCCTCAGACATTTCTTAACCAAGTTTTTATTATAACAACTGGCATGTGTTAACTTTCTTTCACTTAGCAAAGGAGGAAAATGTAATCCAATTATATTATTACAGAGATATAGTACTTGCATTTATTACCAATATAGAACTATAATAAAATAACTCAAAATTCATCTACCAAGCTCTTCTGCTTTCCCTTGCCATTTTGGGCTTCTTGGGGGATGTTTTACAAAATGTCCATTGATTCACAACCTCTACTTAACATTCCTCTGAGGCTCATCCATCTTTAGATTCTTGGTTATGCCGAGGAACAAGGATTGCAATGTAGTGCAAAGCTCTGTAATTTACTGGTTTCTCTTCTCTTTTGCCTCGACCATTTGTTTTAAAAGCACTCCCTAGCATAAAATGTCCTCTTTAATTTTGGATGCACATGGCCCCCACTAGTTTGTTTGCCCTGGCTATGTGTTAGCCCTTTGACATCCTGGGCTGAAAATTTATTGCATGGCTATTTCAGGATAATAGCAGAGAAGCTGCTGTTGCTGCTCTTTGAAGCCTTTGTGGCTAATAGCTACCTTGTTTACTATTGCTGGAACATCTTACCAAGCACCATGTTTCCAGCTGTTTTGCTGGATGGTGGCAAGGAACGTGTGAGCTGTGTTAAAAGCCAATCATTATCTCATTATTATCAGCTAAATGTTGCAATCTGTGGGCATGGGAAACCATTGGGATACACCATTTGCTAACAGCTCCTTTTCATTTTCTGGTGTCTTGACTGAGCAACACAGAAGAACTGGGTGGGCAGAATTTTCAATTTACTTAACTTCTAGGTTGATTTCTAGATACTGTATCTGTGTGGTCAAAATGATTCTGGTGTATACAGGATTTAGAACTTCTGTTTAGTCAGGTTGCCTTTGAATGTGAGCTCTTCTTGTTCAGCATTTTATTAAGGCTGAAATCTTAGATACCCTTTTTTGTGAATGCAGTGGGGCTTCCTTCTGAGCAAGCCTGCAGGGTAAATGGCTGTTTATAACTAGAAATCTCCCAGAAGAGCAACTCACAGCCATTTCTACTTACATTCTCAACATATTGCCTTTTATAATGTCAACTATTATTACAAGATAGCAATCCTGAAATCACACTGAAAGAAATAACTTGCTGTGAGTGAGTGTTTTGATTTGTCCCCGTGCATTTTTAAAAGAATACAACTGTTCAAGAAATAGTAACAATTTCAACAAGCTTAAATGTTTTTTTTCCACACAAAATCAATGGAGTTTAAAAAGGACTGACATTGGATTTTGCTTCACATATATCAAACTTAGATAAGTGGCAGAACTGCTATAAGTTACATGGAGGTTCCTGCTGTCAGTCATAAAAATTACCTTAGATGGGAGAAAGATTTCTCAAATTAAAACAAATTTAAAAGGCCATTTATAATGCTTCGGTCCTACACGTTACTTCAAAGTAAATAATCCTCTCTCCGCAGCTCAGTGAAGAAAAAGATAGACAACCTCCATTCCTTGAACCTGCCCTAAAGGGCTTCAGAACAGTTGTGGGCATTTGGTGATTAAGGGACGAGCATTTCCTCTACTAAAGACAGGTCCTGAGTTGCCGCCAGCCTAATTACAGGGCACTGAAGGTTCATTTCATTCCCTTGTTAAACGTTCCCACATGATGGCTTGATGGTCACAGCAGTTCTGTGCTTTTTATGTATAAGGTCTAGTTTGAACTTGTGGGATTTGTTTGGATAAAACCAGATCTTAGCAAAAGAAAAACTGGTGTGTGAATGCCTGTTAGAGAAACATGATACTGCTTGGGTAGAAATAAGTACACAGCCAAAATAACAAGTGCCCATAATCTGGTATGAGCACCAGTTTACCTTTGTCACCAACTAACGGCAGCCTAGGCTGAAATTTCTGAAGCTGGCTTAAGAAATGACTGGGAGCAGCATGGCGAATAAGCAGCTTACCCTGCAGTACAGAACTGATAACCTGCTCAGGATCTGAATGCCATTTGTAAAAGAAAAAAAAAGGATGGCTGTAAAAGGATGCCATCGCTGGCTATTGGGGGCGAGTTATTGGCCCCCACAGATAGGGCTCGCAACTTGGGTGTCCTCCTGGATGCACAGCTGTCTTTAGAAGAGCATATAATGGCCGTGGCCAGGGGGGCTTTTTATCAGGTCCGCCTGATTCGCCAGTTGCGTCCCTTTCTGGATCGGGACTCCTTACGCAGTCACTCAGGCACTCATCACTTCCCGCCTGGACTACTGCAATGCTCTCTACATGGGCTCACCTTGAGGAGCACCTGGAGGCTCCAACTGGTGCAGAATGCGGCCGCGCGGGGGATTATGAGAGCGAGGGGGCACTCCCATGTGACACCTCTCCTAGGTGAGCTGCATTGGCTTCCAGTGGTCTTCCGGGTGCGCTTCAAGGTGTTGGTTACCACCTTTAAAGCGCTCCATGGCATAGGACCTGGGTATTTGCGGAACCGCCTTCTGCCACCGATAGCCTCCCACTGACCAGTACTCTCCCACAGAGAGGGACTCCTCAGGGTGCCATCAGCCAGGCAATGTTGGCTGGCGACCCCCAGGAGAAGGGCCTTCTCTGTGGCAGCTCCTGCCCTCTGGAACGATCTGCCCCCGGAGATACAAAGGATATTGGATCTCCGGGTCTTTTGCCGTGCTCTGAAAACTTTTCTATCAAGCAGGGCTGGCGTGAAACCCCTCCCCCCTTTTTTAGTCTTTTTTAGTTTTTTAGCTTTTAATTTGTCAATGGGTTTTAATTCGAATTGTTTTAAATTTGGGCCAAAATATGTAATTCTTTTAATAATTTTAAATTTTGTATTGGTATGTATTTTAGTTCTGGCTGTGCACCGCCCTGAGTCCACTAGGAGAAGGGCGGTATACAAATTGAATAAAATAAATAAATAATAAATAATTCTTGTAAATATGATTGAAGGCTGCCTTTGGAGTAGAATAAAATAGATTAGAGCTGGAAGGGACCTTGGAGGTCTTCTAGTCCAGCCCGCTGCTCAAGCAGGAGAACATATACCATCTCAGATAAGTGACTGTCCAGTCTCTTCTTAAAAACCTCCAATGATGGAGCGTCCACGATTTCTGTAGGCAAGCTGTTCCACTGGTGAATTGTCCTCACAGTTAGAAAGTTTCTCCTTAATTCCAGGTTGCTCTCTTTTATTAGTTTCCAACCATTATATCTTGTCCTGCTCTCTGATGCTTTGGAGAATAGTTTGACCCCCTCTTCTTTGTGGCAGCCCCTCAAATACTGGAATTCTGCTATCATATCACCCCTGATTTTTCTTTTCTTTAGACTAACCAGACCCAAAACCTACAGCCGTTCTTCATATGATTTAGTCTCCAGGTCTTTGATCATTTTAGTTGCTTTTCTCTGAACTTTTTCCAAAGTCTTAGCATCTTTTTGGCCAGCAAAATTGGTTGCAGTATTGCAGGTGTGGTTTTTTTTTTTTTTTAAATTTGATTTA